ATACATATATGAAATGTTTATCGATCGCTATTTATATATAGTTTGTTGGTCCATTTAAATATTTTAAATTATACACAAATATGGCACATAATATCAAATTTGAACACTTTAATTATATAATCATTTGATATTGTATGATATTTCGATAAGAATCAAATAATATAGCAAAAAATATTTTTAAAGAATATTAAAGTGATATTAAGTTTGATATTATATATCGAGTTTGCGTGTTTGCGACTTTAATGGATAATTTATTCGTAGATTTACAAGATACATTGTGGGAGATATATTTTTGATTAATCTGTAGCTGCGAGTGAGTTCTTAGACATTCCGTATAGATAGACATACACTTCGTTTCATGACAAGCTGTAATAAATCGATGTGACACGTAAGCTAATAATGAAGTCGAATCACATATACACACGGACAATACATGACAAATGTAAAACATGTTTCGCATGTGATCAACTCTCATTTCTGTCACATCGCAAATCATAGCTAATGATTAAGTAGATACAATTATCAGGTACATTAAAGCGATGACTACTAATCCTTTTCTATATTTTTTATTATTACGGAGACGCAACGTTTCCAGAATATAATTAGAAAGTGGTCCATTAAAATGCATTTAGATAATTTGCGTAGATAGAGATAATAAAAATTCACACAATGGCCTGCATCGGTTTACGAATTGATTCTAACTAAATATTTTTTTTTTTACAAAATAATTGAAATAGATTATCAACCGTACACATTCTCTTCGAACACGTATGCGCACACACTCGTCGTATCATAAAGATTAATATGCCAAGCAAACAATGCGATTTCAACGTATGATTTCTGGATATATCATACGATATTGCACAAAATGCGGTCGTCTGATATACACAAAGCGATTATTCGCCCAGTGTCACGCTTGAATAACGAGATGACGTGGATAAGTACAAACTGTACATGTTCATGCGATGACGTCACAGTAACTCTCTAATTTAAGATTTACCTGATTTCAATTTTACTCATTGCATTGATTGATTAAGTAAAAAATTAATGAAATTAACGAAATTAAAAATTAATAAAATGAAAAATGAATGTAACATCAAATATGTATAGTTTATCGAAGCAAAAGACATAGAGCATCCATGTATAAAATTAGTCTACAAAAATGAGAGAAAATACGAAGACGGCTAATTTCTATCTTTTCCATTTAACCAAGCACACAATATGTTAGAAAGAGGAGGAGAGAAGCCATCTTCAGCTCTTTCTTTCTCTCTTTTATTTTTGTTCACTATATTTATACTATTTATACTATTATTATTTATACTAGTTATACTATTTAGATTTCTTATACTATTTATGGATAGTGTAGTCCATGTTGTTATATTGATTACAAGAAAGAATATTATATAATCTGTTATATTAGAAGATGTATATTATTTATCTAAAGAATGCATTAGCTGCAATCATATTTTTTCGATTTTTCTCGATAAATATTCTAATCAATATCGGTTCGATTGAATGAAGGATAGTATAACCATGTATTAGAATAATATTCAGTATGAAATTTCCTCAGATTTGCACACATCAAGATAACTTTCATTCAAATTCAATTAGTTTCGATCCCAAAGAGACCTGTTATTAATTCTTATTATAATTTGCAGTATCAAAGTGCATCTAAAAAAATAATGCCAATTTTTGAAGTTTTGCCTCTGTCTACGTAATTACGACAAAAAATGTGAATCATACGGTTAGAAAGGAGATACTGTTTATTAAAATAATTAAATAATTTATTAAGGGCCGGTTATTCCACTTTTTGGTAAATTTTATTTGCGAGATAAATCTGGTAATCCGCGCATGTGATTGAGTAATTTTGCTAATTACCCAACAGGTAAAATTTACCAAAAGATGGAACCTAAGAAAATTAAATTAACTAGCTTTGTTGTATGTTAAATAGATTTAAATTTTCTTAAAGAAAAAGCACTGTAATACTAGTTTTGTCAAATCATATTAAGTACACTTCCTTTTTCTTTTCAATCAATAATTTTCTAATCAATAATTTAGTACAATAATTTAATAAAATTACAACTGTCTTTTTGTTTTGTAACGAAATAAAATGCAAACAATTCTTATCGATACTTTTCATACCTTTGAGTTTAACAATAGAGAAGTCCTTTAATTAAAAGTATCAGATTCAGTAATATAAAAAGATAAATCTGAAAAATTAAAAAATAGTTAATACTTGATTGCCAATAAGACGTTGCTAAATATTGCTGACAATTTTTGCTGAAAGGAAATTCTCCAAAAAATTATAAACAATCAATAGCATTTTTTTGCTATTTTATTACCGTCTGAGATCTTCTGAATTCGTGCAATCAAGATTTTATTATGAGTCAGTCACACGCTCGTTCACGGTGAGTAAACAGCGTGAGAATATGATGTACAAGTATACATTGATATCGCTGAAAAATGTCGCGTGTGCCATTATTCCGCAAAAAAGCTAAATACATGTGTATGTATATATATATATAAACTTAATGCCGACAATACACTTCTGAGAGAAGAATATAGAGATATCCTCTGGTTTTTAGAACATTCGTTAGAGATCTATGCTGTTGTATATGTATTTTATCAATATCATATGTTTTTTATTATACAATTTCTTTATCTGTTATATTTCTGTTATCTGTCAGTAAAACAAAATGCAGAATCGTGGTCATAATATAATATTTCATAGGTAAATAATTGTTTCCTATAACTATCATAAGATGATTATCAATTTCAGTAATTTATGTTATTGTACCGTATTCATATTTTACACTACTATATATTTAGTTTATATTTTTGTCACAACATTTCGTTTATAATTAAAAGGAAGAAATTCTGTATAAAGTAGACTAATATGGCCAATGTAGACATATTAATATACACTAATAGGATAACTCCGGTATATACACATATGCCGTACCTATCAAAAACTTAATTTATTAAATATTATTTACTATGTTTAAAGAGAGAGAGTAAACGAACTATATCAGTAAAAACTTTATACTGTCTACTATTATGAAAAAAATATTAGAAGTCTGAAATATTTATATTAAAAAATGGACTTTTTTAAACCCTTACATTTTTGCCGTATGTCCCATAGAGGTCCCATATATGGTTACTCATAGGAGAAGGAGAGGTATGTACAGCTCATAAAAAATTTACAAATAATACATATAAATAAAATGTAAAATGATACAATAAAATGCTTTTACTTATAAAATGCGTTTACAAAGTTTTATTAAGGAATAAGAATGATAAATATGTATATGAAATAATAAATAATAATTACAATCTTCCCACATGTATTACAAGTGATGACATAAGGTACATATTTCAATAATGCGTTTATTACATTTAGTGCACTGAATTTAATCTGAGCTCTTTGTATGCTTTGGGCATACATCTCGCTTGCTAAAAATGCCATATATCCCAAACAGGGATGTACAAGACAACAAACTAAAGAACACAAAAGCAAAGTACTTATGTTTTACAACATGCTTTATTATTCCTCTACACTCATGTATCACGAAATAATCACCAAGTCTTTTGCACATCCTAGTAACCATTTTATGTAGATTATAATTTATGATGGTGCTATTGTACTTAACACAGTGACAAATCGATTCAACTCACAATAATTTTATTAATATTAACAATAAGAAATTGAAATCGTAACACTATACTAATATAACATAAAGACATGTAACAGAGAATAATTGCGGAAAAATTACCTCCTTCTATTTTTTCTGACTTTTGCAGCGTAAATTTCAACACGGCGTATTTGCCAGAGTTATCCTATACACATAGTAATGAGATCCATTCTACCACCTTTTCCTGTCTAGGGATGTCCGACTTTCCACTCGAAGCGAAGTCTATCTCGGTCCCTCCCTGTCTAGGAAATGTCAGAAAATTATAAAATATTTATGATATTTTTCTTGTTATAATAATTTTTTGATGAATAATGAACAATTAAAATCTTTTTAAGGTCACAACCTTGGCAATATATGTCAAGGTGAAGGTCATCCGAGAGAATATATATTTTATATATAAATATATATTTATTTATTTATTTATTTATTTATATAAAATATTCAATTTCTCTCTCAATTATATAGTCATTCGCGCAAGGACGAATTGAAAGCGGTTTCAGAGGCATGTATTCATTTAATATATCTAAGGACCACTTCGACCAATCCTGATTAATTTTAATCGACTAAATAGTCCTTTGAGATCGACCAATCGTATTTGTCAATGACAGATGTAATTGGCCTATTCCAATGGACTAATCGTCGATTAAAGTTAATTGAATTAATTGAAGTTGGTCGAAGTGGCCCTAAGCTGTTTTTCTTCCGATCGATTGTCTTTCCGATAACGAATAACGAACAAAATAGCCGTTCGTGTTAATTTTATGTGCACTTAATCATATTAATTCGCATGTATACGCGCGTTTAACTTATACAACATGAATTTATACAACCTACGACACGTTATGAGAAAAGTCTTGGGAGGAAGCTTGGTGGAAATGAGTACGGTTGCATGGTGAATGATTGCGATATAACACGGTATCAATCTTGTTCAGAAATCAAAACAAAAGAGGATTTAGTCATATATACATTAAATCTATATTGTCTTCTACTTAATTTTGTCTTATTTTGTGATCTTGGGTCTTATATAGTAGTAATGAATATGATCGATTGTTGTATTAACTTCTATTTTGTTAAGAGTTACCATATTAGAATACCAAAACTAATCTTCAATTTAGATCCAGTTTTTCAAACAAATGGCAAATAATAGAAAGTAAGGAAAATGAAGGAGTCCAATGGCGGGACTTGCGCCTATATGTGCCGAATGTGCAGTCGAGTGCAAGATAGACTGCGGAAAAGTTACGGATATGAGAACCCCACTTGGTCTGCGAACCACGGGCGCGGCCTTTTCCCTCGGACTATAAAGCCACTACACTTCACTTCTACCAAACATTCGCTCGGCAATTCCGTCACTTACTCGCTCTCACCATGTGGCTGCTTATCCTCGCAGGTGAGTGCGATCACGTCACATTCTCACAAGAAAAGGATAAAATTTTGCAGTGCAAAAGTGCTTATGATTCAATTCATATCGCCCCCTTTTTATCAACTTATCTCCATGTGAATAACACGCTGCGGAGTGTACGTGCAACGATAATTCATGCGTGTGTGTTTTTTTTGTTGCGAAACGTGGATGTGAATTTTGTGTGGGGAAAACGGATTCTGCTCTTCACTACAATAGGAAATTACTCACAAAAAATTGAAAAAATGTATTTTGAATTGTTTCATTTTATTATGCAAATGTATATTCATTTTTATTGTTTTTTAATGAAAAATATAGAAGGATAACGATTATTTTATATTTATGTTTTCTGATGAAAACATTGAAATATTTTTCAAATGATGAATATGTTTAAGGAGATTGATTTTCATTTTTTATTAAAAATATAAAAGCGCTATACGCACATTTAATTTTTAAAAATATAAATCAATAAATACAAATTGATACAACTATTAATTTCAGTAAAGTTTTTACATGAATTTTATGTAAATTTCAAATAAAATAATATATATGTATTATATTATATTTAAATATCAAATAACTTTAAAAAACTGTTTATTTAGTAGATAATTTAATAGATAATTTAGTCTACTAAATCTTTTTTATTGTTTTGTCTTTTACTAATGAGTAGATGTTTCGTAAAATTTTTTAATGGTATTTATTCTATTAAAAATATCACTTATATAGTTAATGAAAAAAAATTTGAAATTGAAAATGTATTAATATTTATATTTTCAACATAAAACTAATCAAAACTGTATAAAAGTTGTGTAAACAACAGCGTACATATTTATTTATATATTCATATTAAATTTATATTTGTTTATTTATTATTATATTTAGTTATTATACTTTCACTTACAAAATAATGAAAAAATTTTTAATTTTTTGTGAAGTAATCGAACCCTATATATGATCTACCTAAACCTTTGCGATTTTATCTAATTTTTGAGTTCAAAATTAAAAATTCTGATCAGATTCAAAAAAGAAAACACTTCTAAATATTAAAACAATATAAGATGTTTTCAAATATTTATAGTACACTAAACATTTTAAGAAAAGATAACATTTAGGTGATATTAGGTATATATAACTAAATATGTTTTCCCCTTTTTCGTAAACAAATGCTGGAAAATACAAAATAAAGTCCCATTACTTCTGTAAGATTATAAGATTATTAACATATCGACACGTTTTTTATTGGTATATTAAAGGATACAAAAAACAATTTTCTAAGCAACTGACTTTTTTTACTTATTTACTTATTTCCACAAAGTTTAGCAAATGAATTATAGCCAACTCAATTAGATGCATTAATGTGCATCAATGCATAGTGCATATTAAAGTTTAATATTGATTTAATTTAGATGTAAAAGTGAAATATTTTCAATTAAAAATACATATTTTACTTAACAATACAATAAAATGTATTGAAGATAGTTTAACCCGTTTCTATATATTCTATATTAAACTTTATATCAATTCCTATATGACAGCTTTAATATCTAGTGTGCACTAAATGCATCCGATCGAATTTAAATCTATGATCTGGAATAACAAAAAGAAGTTATACAATTAATGTGCACACTCAATGTATTTAGATTGCTTCTTTGGTTATAAACAAAACATTATGACAAAAATATATAAACTAAATACAGTGTTATAAAATATAAATATAGAATTACAACACAATAAACTATGGAATTTAATAACTATCTCTTAGTAGTAATAAAAAAACAATTATTAGGTATATACTTACAAAATATTATATCTACATTGTGTTCTGTATTTTACTTTACTGTACTTTACTTTACTCAATAACAGAATAAACAAAGTGAACAATAAAATGAATCGAGTTAGATGGCAACCTGCAGGATTTATTACTGCAGCTTGTTGAATTAAGGCGTAATTGCACAGTGAGTAGGGCATATTGGATTTTAAGCCCATATACAGTCTAATTATTTTATATGTCTAATTATCTTATATATCTTATATTTTAAATTAATTTATATCTATGATTATACAAAGTTTCATGGCGATACAGAGATTAATTGTTCTGTAAATGAATAAAGTTTATTTATAGAACAATTAATTCTTTTATTTATTTATTCACAATTAATCTGTGCATTGCAATAGAAAGAATTTCTGTATTTTTGGCAATTTGAAAAACACGCATGTTGAATTTATCGTTTTTACTTGCTGAATCCGAAAATTATAATTAAAATAGTTTTAATTTTTTGGGAAATATACTTTTGGAACATATTACAATACAATACATTTTATTAAAAGAATGCAACAGCTAATTTTTTTATTATTTTGTTAAATCGTGTTTACAATAATTTCTTTTTGTTTTTACTAAAATATTTTTTTTTCATTAAAATTAATTATTATTAAAGTTATGACTCACTTGCATTGTACAATAAATAAGATTTCGTAATGAAGGCTATTATTGTGTAGAGCGTTTATGAAGCGGAATATACTAAAGGCCTATTCTTTATAGTATTTCTTGCACGGCTCTCTTTTTCCTCCAGCGTAAAGAGAAGAAGAAGCACATCCTTTTTAAAATTAAAAACTTTTATTTTTCCGATAAACGATTTAAATGATTAAATTAAACAACAAAAACAATAAGACTACAAGCCAAATTAGATATATTAGATTTAATACTAAATTAACATATTTTTATTATCATTTTATGTTATCATTATTTTTTATGTTAAATACAATTTATTGAAATTCAACGGTGCAGATTATAAAAATAATTAATCAAAACAAGATAATTCTCGCATATTGTATCATAATCAATTCATACTTGTCATTCTTTGAAATTAATGGAGATGATCGTCTATTATCATGTCAGTTCGAGTTTCCACATTGTAAATGATCAATATATAAAACGTAGTAAATTAAACGTTCAGTTATAACGTTTCAGTTATAACGTTTCAAATGTAGAGAATTTCAACTTGTTTGAAGTATGACTTCATTTCTAAAATTTTTAATGGTGCGTAAAAGTTCATATATTAGACAATCAAGCTGTAGGCAATAAGCAATCAATTTGTAAGGAAATAAGAGTAGACAAACGGTGCTGTAGACAATCGATTTGTAGGCAAAAGAAACCCTCGCAGAAATTATATAAATTCACAAGAAAGAAATATGATTAGACATAAAGAATCGCCTTGACCACGTATGACCTTTTTCACCTAGGCATATTTAATTTTTATCAAGCAATTTTTTACTAAAAAAATGTAAGTTTATAAAAATGAAAAATAAAGGACAATTATTATTATTATTATTATTATTATTATTATTTTTATTGAAGTAAATTTTTTTAACTTTTATTTAAAAAATTTTTTCTAACCTTTATAGTTTTATAATATTAAACAATATTTGCTTATTTAACAATATTTGCTTCGAAAAAAAATCAATTTTCTTTCAAGGAGTATTTTACCCCCTGAAAAAAATACCTATGTGAAAAAATATATGTTTCTTATTTTAATTTGAATTACAATATATGAAAAATTTATCAAAATTGAAAGGAGATATTTCTCTGCTTTCCCTTGTTAATGTTTCTTAAATTAGATTAACGTACAATTTTAATAGAAAATAGTAGATAGCGGTTTTCTTCAATTTATTAAATAAGTTATATGCATTAATTCTTACATACATATTTGTTATAAAAATTTCTCTTTTTTCTAATTATCTTTTTTTCAAACAGAATAAAATATACTTATTAGTACACAACAAAATGTATACATTTACGTGTAGTAAATGTATTTTCTCTTTTATTGTATAATATATTTCTGATTGATAATTAAACTGAAATACTCTTAATGAACATCATGATGTAATTGAATGCAATTTAATTATATGTTCAACTGTATTATACTGTACTTTATTAAGCTAATATCAACTTTAGCAATATGGATGGCAATGTTCAGATCAGTAGAAAGTTGCTTCCGACGTACGTTTATGCAAAGAGTAGCTATACGCACTATAACATATCAGTTTCTACTTGACATGCCGTGTAATTTTATTTTCTTTTGCGAGTTTCTTCATAGTCCATGACACCGCTGTAAAACATCCTTCTCGTAACATGAAGCTATCAGATTTTCTCATCTTCGAAAGAATTCACGTAACGATAATTGCACGAGAAGCCGCAGGGTCTCTTTGCCTAATTTCCTCCTTAGTACACTGATACAATGCCGCAATGAGAACTCGAATCTATGTTTTATGATCTCTCGTTTCCTCCAATGTATAAAAAACCGTCAAGTTAAGAAACGCGTTTCCTTCCTAGGCTATTATTGCATGTTATCGAGATCTTTCATGTCGTCGCTATGATGACGGGATAAATTTTTATTCACATATTAACAGATCTTTATTATTGTATTTTCCTAATTTAGTCATTAAATTGTATTTAAAATATTTATCATTCGAAATATTTTTAAAATAGATTTGATGCAAAATATTGAAATAGTAATTGTATCAAAGTTTGTTTAACGCCATTTAACGAATATAAAAAGTTAACTTCATTTCGCATAAATAATAAAAAATGTTTATATTATTAAAATTATGTAGAAGATAATTGCAAACGACTATAATTTTATCAATAATACAGAAAAAAAGTCACGTGTTAATTATATTTATTGCATTTTTTATATAATTTTTTTATTTATATAGTAATGACTCTGTATGGCATTTATATAGATTATGTTTATATGAAATTATCCGCCGCGGGCGATGATATTTCGTAACTAATCATTAAATATTTTCTATATATGGCGACTATTCTCATTTTTATAAATTTATTATTTATTTGCTCTGTTATATACGTTATTTATAACACAAATCAGTAATAGCCACGACAGTTGAAATGAAAAATCTCACGCGCTCGTATCGCCATCGATTGAGAAATCGATGTCGAACATAAATTGCGTGAACGAACGGTATCGCCTTTCTAACCGATATACCATATAGTACCGGGTTGCAGCTGCAACTGCTACCAACTTGAAAATCGAAAGTAGTCAAAGCGGAAGATTGTTACGTACAATATGTATAGATAAATAAATAAATAATTTATCCATAACATATTTTATTTATTTATTTATTAAAAATAATAAAATTTTAATCGAGAGAATGTTCAATAAACACAAGGAGTCCTATGGCATACTGCGCTTCTGCGTACTCCGACTTGGTGCAATCTAATTAATCAGCTGTAATCGTTAATAAATTGATAAATAATAGTCTGAGCTAAAAAATCGGAAAGAAAGAAAATTGGAAGAAAACTTTTAGTTCAAAATTTCATCCTTTTTCATTCCCAAAATATTAAGAAGAAATATTATGAGACACCCTGTATATCTATAATATAGAAATACATATAATATATATATGTACATATAACAGGGTATTTTTCAAATAATACCTAATAACTCTAATTATATAATGTATATATATATATATATATATATATAGTATAAACATATATAGTGCTATTATAGTGCATAGTCCTATCAAAAATTGAATCGAAAAGTCCTGAGCCATTTTTTCTACAATACTCAATAAAAAAATTATTACCAAGTAAATATAATTCAATTAGCGCCGTTTTTTATTCAGGCACACGTCAGTGAACCGCGCACTTGGTAAGTAGACCACTATCAAACGGTTCACTGACGTGTAGTCGAAAGGAAGGCGCCAATTGGATTAGCTTTACTCGATAATAACTGCTTCATTGAGCGTTGTACAAAAAATGGTTCAGGATATTTTGACTCAATTTTTTATTAGGGAGCATTATATGATTGGTGGGCGCTATTTAATAAATACTGTGTATACATAATACATGCTTAACATATATATAGATGTGTGTATGTATGTATGTATATTGAGAATTTTTATTTGTACATATTTTTCTGCATGTATCACTTACTAACGGCCTCTAATGAATGATTCGACCCGCGACTAAGGCGGAAGTCTGTGCGCAGCTTTAAGCTAGAACTAAAAGTGAAAACTGCCAGTAATAATATGTCACAGAATATACGCTAATATAATACTGTACATTGCCAACATGGAATATCAACACTCTTTTTCATTATCTTCTACATTCTTGCATTTCCCTTTCTTCCGTTTCTTAAATTCTTAAAAAAAAAGTGTTCCAATATACTGAATAGTCAGTATATTAAAACATTTTTTCTTAAGGGAAGTACTTCTAAATAAACAATTTCACAGTTTATTGTCTTATTTATTCAAATATTATAAACTTATTATTTATAAATATAACAAATAATAACAAATAATAATATTAAATAATATTAAATAACATTAATATTTGAAGAATTAGAGCTACTAAGGCTCAACTTCGCCGTCAGTATTTGAATATTTATTTAGATAAGAAAATAAAGTAAAGAAAACAAAACAATTGTTGATATATGATGATATAACATTATATACATTATCATAAGGTACAAGGATTGATTAGCGTTGTAATATCTAAATAGTTTTCTATAAATTTTCTCGATTATTTATTCTTAAACATTTATGATCTTAAACATTTAGGGATATTTTAAAATAAAAACTAATTTAAAGTATCAATTTTCAAAATAATCTTATAGAGACAATTTTTGCTAGAATAGAGCAGAAATATTATGTGGCCTTAAGGAATCTTGATCAGATACTCAGGACAGATTATCCGAAAGTGAAAGGTCGATGGCGTGGTTTCGCATTGTCCTTATTGCATCACTAATTTCACCTCTAATCCGCTCGAACCTATTAAACCTAACACTGCAGTTTTGAAAGATCACTTATTTGTATTATATCTATCGATCGAATCTTTGCTTGGTAGTAATTATAACTACATTGTACCAATGAAAAATAGAAAAAATCATTCTAAATTAGATTCTAAATTTTCTCCGAGAAACAATTGAAACTTATATGTATGTACATCATCATGATTATAAACAAAACATAATGACATCATGATTATAAACAAAACATTAATTAACATTTGTTTATGTCTTTTATTTGCTTAAGAATGTATGAGTTATATGTCTCAAAAATATAAAAATTTCATAGATTATCTTGATTTTTGGTCATTTTGATTTTTGAAGCCGAACATAAAAAATGTCATAGATAAATGTTCAGATTTACAATATTATTATCATATTGTTAGTAATAATATTATTCACCAATAGTCGTAGTTACTACTTCATTACCGTTTATGTTGCTAATAATTACTATTCAAGCAACTATTATAGCAACTATAGAAATATTTCAATAGTAGTTCTCAATAGTTCCATTTCATACGGATTCTATATAATAATCTAGTCTATATAATATTTATAAATATATAAATAATTATATAAATATGTAAATACAAAAATAATGTTCAATAAAGTAACATTAAGATACAAACTTCGTGAAACACATTAATTAAATAAAGTTTGTTAATTGTACGTATACACTCGCGGTATGGGGGATGTTGCTTAATCACGGCTTCCTCCTAAGGACGCGCATATAGTATTATTACTCAACGAGGGAAAAATTACGCACATCCGTGCAATATCCCACGGACTAACAAAAGAAGGAAAGCTAACCGGATTGCCGCACGCTTTTCTCTCTTTATTTCAAAAGAATCGGCGTGATCATATTTATAATAATACTGCTTTTATAGAAAATGAGACAATGTAATAATTTATTTCAAAATGTCTTTCTTCAAATTTAGTACTTTAAATTCGCAAAATAATTTTGTAATTTAAATTATTTAACACATAAGTCGTAATTTTGTGCCATTATTGATACTAATCTAAATTTTTAATTCTCTGAATCTTTAAATACTTAGTTAATTTGCAAAATAAGTTCTTTAATAAATTTTATATCTCTTTTTTCATAAATAACACTTTTCATTGGATCCACCTCCAATTTGGCTTATGTAGTGTTTTTTATTTAGTTATTTATTTGCAATGTAGAATCACGTAGAAAAAGAATTATATGCCGAATAAATTCATAGTTAAGGAGATTTGTTATTTTTCAGTGAAAATTAGAAAATCTATAAATCCTCATATAAATCATAAATTTAATGAGCACCATCAAATTTAGTCTATTTCATTTTTTTTATTGTTAAAGAAAACTAATTTGTTTAACATCTTCATTAGAAAACCATAGCAAGGTCGTAACACGTCATTTTCTCAATTCTTGTATATCTTCATCATTTATAATCAAAATACTGTAATTACATCTTTATTGCACGATATGTAAATCAAATTTTGCGATAATAACTTATGATTCTTAGTGAGTAAATTGCTAAAGAAACTGGTAATGAAGGCATGCATTTTGTGAAATCATTATGCCGCTTACGTGATGTGGGTATAAGAAGCAAAAAATGTAAAAGGAAACTTTCCTCGACTTCACTTTCAGGATCATCCAAGAATTATCAAGATTAACTTTTAAATGATTAGAAATAATTAAAAAAAGCGTTTCTAAAAGATACGCGAATTAATTAGTTAAGCATTTTAAATAAAATAAATGTTTCCATTTCTCTTTCTCTTTCTACGTAAACACTTACTTTATAAATATACATATTTTGAAGTATGATTTATTAACGATGCATTAAAGTATCGAGAAAAGTATTATTTATATATCAACAAAATTTAAAAATTAATAAAATTAATATTAATGAAATTAATAAAATATATGGCAGTCAAAACAAAGATATTAAACTTCGTTTTAATTAAGATTCTATGATTATTAATTATCTTGTAAAAAAATTACTTTGTAAAAAATTGCTAAAGCTAATATGTAATATATTAACAAATGTTTTAGTATACGACATCGATTTTTCACTTTTACAGCACAGTTTGCAATTTTTACACATATAATACAATTCTAATTTTAATTTTACATCATTCTGTCAAAGAAACACAATGAAATATTTATCGATTTTCTTATTATTTTATTACGAGCTTAATTTGAATTGCATACTAATGCAAAATTGATCTAATAACACTGTCAATATGTAAATTTAATTTTTTTTATTTTTAATATCATAGCATACGTAAGTACATAAAAATTAACGTATTAGATACAGTTCATTAACCGAACTGTTCATACGCTTATTTCTTTCCGTTACGACAAGGCGCCTGGAAATGTTGAAAGCAAAATCCGTGGGAAGAGTTTCTTGAGCGCACGTCGTTGTAACTTTCTCTGCATTACTTTCCCAGCTCTATTCTAAGCGTTCGCGGTCAGGCAGAACGATATAGGTAAAAGTCACTTCCACGTTCGATTATTCAACTCCATCAAACTCCAAAAGGAAATGTATATAGGATTTGGCATTTTATGCAGCAGACAATTTTCACGCGCACGTGCGCGCGTGCACGTTTTGAAAAATTTCAAAAGAAATTTTTATCGTATGACATAATAGAAGAAATGTACATAAAAAAACATATTTGTTGATTAACACATTTATTACATTTATTATATTTATTAAAGTAATTAATTTTTAAATAAAGAAATCTTTTTAATTTGAGTAAAAATGTCAAAATTTCTAAACCAGTTAAGAACGATTTTGTATATTTCAATATTTGAAATCAACAGGTCTCCTTACAATCTCCGCTGGAGAGGAGATCAGCTTCGCTAAGAAAACGGCGTCATCAGTGACTAATGCTGATGACATTGTTTTGCTAGAGGTCGATATCAAAGATCCTGTCAAGAGATCACCAGTTTCAAGCAACGGCATTTATGGAGCTTCACCTAGCCAATTCGTTATTCGACACGGTGATGACTCTCAAGAGGTATGAAATAATTTTATCGTATATATATCCATTAAATTTCAACTAATCGCATTATAGAATATTCAGTATTAAATATTTCGTCGAATATTCAGCATTATTGTCATTGGTCAATATGACTATATTGATTGCTTATTCGCCTACTAACGTGCTGACTAACTAGCCATGAACAGACTATTTTTATAAGACATTTGAATAACAGCATGTAGAAAGAGAGAGAGAGAGAGAGAGAGAGAGAGAGAGAGAGAGAGAGAGAGAGAAAAAGAGAAAGAAAGACTTAGGTCCGCCTTCAAGATCTAGGTGTTCTGATGCAACGAGGTAGTAGTCAGCTTTGCTAGACTCTATTACTCTCATTACTTGTATGAGGATTTCCATTTCACCAGTGCACTTCGAGGATAACGAGAGATTGTACATTCCGTGAAACACCGGATCCCTCTCTCCCCCTACTGTCTCTCAGCATTTTTATCCTTTCTTGTTAAATGAAGTTAAACTTCTAATAAGCTTGAAATTAAAATAATTATTCAATATATGTTACTTTTATCAGCTGTTACTTTAGATGGATTTTTATGATTAATATTATTAAAAATATTTATTATATTGTTAAAATATATAGCATATAAGGAACATAAAATTGTATGATAAAAAACAAAGTATACATTTTCAAAAATGATATTAATATGACAATAAGCGATAATAATTTTTCATAAATCAAGTTAAGTGGCTGAATATTTGATGGAACATCATAAATTAAGTTAAATAAATAGAAGTATTGTAAAAAATATTTTATTTCCATAAATTTAAACTGATATACTCAAAAGATGCGCAAAAATATGAATAAATTTTTATTATTATCAATTACCATTGTATTGATTCAATAAATAATATTAGATATATTCGCAAATCTATAGATTCGATTACAAAAAAAAAGGTAACGGAGATTTTGCCGAGATGTGTGCTGCCTACGCGGTCGCTCGTGATCGCTCAGTAGTGCCGCTGCTCGAATGCAATCATTCGCTTGCATAACGCTTGCAAGTTTGCACGCCTTCTAATCGCCTCGACCTGACAGAACCGGTACAACCACACCCACTAACAGCCGAGTATAAGTTTCTAGTTTTATCTCATACGCTTATAGAATTATAACCTTCCCCACGGCCTTGTGTACCGTTACAGCGAGATGAGTCACTTTCGTGATCATTGCTTCTTTATCGGTCACTATCCAGCTCATCTACTGAGTTGTTGCGATAACTTACAGAGCAATAATCTAACCTTCGATTATTTGTTTCAAGTTATTAATAAGATCAAGTTCATTCACAGAATAATGGAAATGAAACAAAATAGAATATATCACCTTTAATTATTATTTCTTTTATTTGCGTTACCTTTAATTAATTTTTAATTAATTTTTACTTTTTATTTTTTATTTTCAATTACAAGTCTCGAAAATTTGAAAAAATTTACCAATATATAGCTGTAGATTAAGGCTATCAATATCCAGAATCGTCTCGGATATTCCTACTCTAATTCATAGGTATATTACCCGAGTAATATTTTGATAAATAATTCGAGACATTTTGGTTGTCTATATTACAATTTCCTTAATACAAATCAAGTAATTGTAAATCGAAATAATCGAGTGCAGCAAGAAAGTCTGTCAGATTACCAAATCTGAAGTATGTAACCGTCATTTAGCTGTTAAACTAAGTGCTATTACACTCCATAAACTGCACAATAAATAACAATAAGTTAAATAACGATCGGCAAAACGAATGCCACGACACCAAGCATTCACTTTCTTTAACGACATATTCACAGTGAAGTATACAAAACAACCGAGGTGTCTCGAATTATTTATCAAGAGATTGTATTGTACAAGACTGCTGGCTTGAATTAAGCCGAAAGTTCGGTATTTGTTATACATATGTAATATTAAGAAATATATATTGATATAATCGCTTCAATTACTGTAAATTTAGGCTCTTATTTGTCCGTTTTTTTATTTATTGTTTATTTTGAAAACGAAATATTCGGAACAATAAAAAATTTATATTCTTTATCTATAATACTTATATAAGTAATTGGGTAATAAAGGGGGGGTAATAAAGGGACCAGGATACTCTCATGATAATCCCTATTATGATATCTTATAGATACGTTTTAGTTTTGCTTAGTTCCCAAAATTATTTATATTATAATTGCGCATAGTATTTTGTTGTATATAACTATTGTAATCAATTTTGTATTTAAAATTTTATCGAACTTTGCGTGAAATCTATTATTTGCCTGCTTTTTAACGCTGATTTAGATAGTTCACCATCAAGATTAAGGGTGTGAGCACACGAGGTAACACGACATCTCTTTGTGATTTCACAAGACAAGCATTGACTCGTTCACATACCGATTGTGCGAATGAATCGGCATTTATCTTGTCACAAATGTTATAAAATGCCCTCACGTACTCGCATCCTTAAGACAATTTCTCGCTATAACGCAAATGTTTATTAACGTAGAAAAATGTACAAATTTCAGCTATCGCCCGAATACTTAGCTGTTCTACGACAATTCACCGGAACTGAGCCGCAGGCATACGCAAGACCCAATGAGCCTCAGCGTAGGCCACTTTATGCCAAACAGCAGCAGGCGCTGCAGCAGGCATATTACAATTATCGCAAACCCGTAGTTCCTGCTAGACCGAAACCTCAGTTACATCCCCAGTTGATTCAAGCTGAGGCACAGACTCAGGCATTACAGCCGACACGCGGTCCATCCGGAGCATCAACGTACCAAGTAGAATCTTACACTTCACCGAAGCTAGGCACGTTCGAGCAAGAGTTGTTGCAATTGGTATCCGCCAATCAGGCCCAAGAGTTTAATCTGATTCCGACGCAGCCTAAAACTGGCTATTCCCAACAAGAATATGTAAAACCAACGGCGGCACCGGTGCCTCAGTTACCTCCCAACACACAATACCAACAATATCATATTGAAACTAGTCCGCCTCCTCGTTATCCGCCACAACAACAAGTGGCGGCGACGTATCAGTCGATCGAGCAACCAATTCAGATTCAGTACCAAACGCAAGCGGTAGATTATGCGACAAAAGGAATCGAATCTTTCCGACCATCTCCGCAATACGACTACGAAAGCGACGGTGGTCAATTGAAAGCTCATCAAGGGCAGACCCAGGCGGAAATTGAAGCAAATGCCAGAGCTCAGGCTCAGGCCGAAGCGCAGGCCTTAGCTTTTCAGAAAATTGCTCAGGCATCATATCAAAAACATCATGACACCGCTTTAGAACAGATCAGAATCGATCACGAGAGGTATAGACAACAGAGCGCCTTGGAACAAATTCAACAAGGAGAGCAAGTGAGCGAAGCCGGACGAGCTCACATCGAAGGTCGGTTGGAACCTAAGGATCCAGAGGCCGCGTACAGGGCAAAATTAAAGGCGCAGGCGGCTGCCGAAGCCGCCGAAGCCAGGAGACTTCAGGCAGCTGCTGAACAGAAAGCCCACACTGACGCTGTACGTCAAGTCGAGGCTCAACAGCAGGCCCATGTAAGAGCACAGGAGAAGGCTCATATCGACGCTTTGAACTTTGAAAGAAATCAATTGCGTGCTCAGGCCCAAGCTCAGGCATTAGCGGAGGCTCAAGCCTTAGCATTGTACAAAATTTATCAGCAGTCACGCGCCAAAGCCAACACTGAAATTTTGGCAGCCGCTAAAGCTCAGGCAGAATCTAAGAAGGTAGATCCTGATGGTACACCAGTTGTTCAATATCTTTTACCTAATTCTCAAAAGCTCCCGACACTTAATAATTACTTTACCAATGATGACGTGAACAAGTATCAGGCTTCCGGCTCTACCTATGCCACTAGATCCGTGACTAAACCAGATGATTCCAGTGAAACTACCGTTCAAGAGCAAGCTTACGTTCAACCTGTTATCAATCAACCTCGTCAAGTACACAAACTCAAAGTCCCACCGACTCAGTCTTCCATTTATGTTTCTCAATCAGGTCTCTTAAAAAAGTCGCCAGTCAAATCTCTTACCATCGAAGAGGTTATTGATCAAGACCAACTAAATACTCCTCAAGTTGTACGTGTTCCCTCTCCTAAGGATCAGCAGCCTCTGACGCAAGAAGAGTTGTCTGTTCTAATTAATTCCGGTTACACCGTCACCCCGATACCTCAGACAACAAAATCGACTCAGCAGAATTACGTGCCGGAGAATGCTTCCGCAGTATACTATTTGAAGAAACAGCGACCGGCAGTCAGGCCTGAATATGTTACATATGAAGAGGTTCGATCGCAAAGATCCAGAAAGAATACACCTATTCTCAAACAAGACGACGCTAATGCTAGCGAGAAAGTCACTTACTTGGTACCCTTGGAACCCAGTTTTGGCACCAGACAACCGTCACTTAAAAATAACGAGTGATAGATTTTCGTTGTCGTAAAAGAATGATAACATTTAGAGAAACCTAAACGTTACTATTAGTTTAAATCTATTTCTTTCCTAAATTCTTTTTATTCTATCAAATGATAAAATTTTCTTTCTTTTTTTCGTTTTAAACTTATATGATTAAGGGTGCCGTGTAAACGTAGTCAAAAATAGCTACGTTAATTTTGTACGGAGAGCGTAAAATAAATTCGTTTATAAAGTTACAAATATACTATAGCAAACTTTAGAAAAATCTGTAGAGCACATATAAAAAAGATGAATATAATTTTTAAAAAATATTTTCTTGATGTATATGATAACAAACAGAATATAATTTATAATCGAAAAGATATTGCAATAATTTTACGCGCGATTATCTAGTAGATATTAAATACGGTGCTGAGTCAAATGATTATTAATTTATACTTTTTTGTAAATAATAGAATTTTAATTAATAAAAATATTTTAAAAACACGAACTATTTTAAAATCTTGCTTCATAGTACGAAGGTAATACTTCCTTTATTCTTTCTTATTCATGTCTACATCTTTCTTTTTAAATTTTTATCAACACAAAACAAAATGTTACATATTACGGAAACGAGAAATATTTTTATATATCTATTTATAAATAAGAAATGTAAATAGAAAATACAAAAAAATGAACATGCAAGAATTTTGTATGGATCAATTTCAATTATTTTATCATAGATCTTCCTAGCAAATAATATTATTAAAAACAGCTAGTTCATAATATTATTATTAATATTAAAGACATTATTAATACTCATCGTTAAGTACACTGTATTATAAGGTTTCTGTTTCTCAACATCTGAATGATGATTTTTATTCCTAACTGTTGATAAAAAAAATACAAGGTTATAAAAATTCCATTAGATTTTAAGATATTAAGCATTTTATAAAAAAAAATAATTTTAAACAATTTAAACTTATTTTTTTGCTTTACGGAGTAAAATACATGAAATACATAAAAATCACTATTCAGATGTAGAGAAACAAAAACCTTATAAATCAGTGTAGGTTTAATATTAAAAATTTTATTACTTAATTTAATATATCATTTAATATATCATTTAAAATTGTACACAAAAAAGATTTTATATCATCACATTTATTTTCATATATTCTAAAAAGTTTTTTTCTTATAACTCTATACTATATTTATATTACATCACATTTGCATTATTACATAAGAAAAATTCAAAACGAATCTAATTTTCTAAAAATTGAACAGTGACGGAATTGTTTGAGAAACGTTTCTTTTTCAGTAAAACATCTCACAAGAAACACATTATTTGTTAAGAAATAAAACATCAAAATTTATTCTATTGTGTTATGTCATATATTAACATAATCGCGTTTAAAAAATAATTATCATGAATAAAAGAAGAAAGTAATAATCTGAAAAGAATATAAAAATAATTAAGTATAATTATGCGTTTATGTTAAGCGTGTAATATAAACGCATAATATGCCCTTCACTTTATTGTATATGTATAATGATACTATTACTGCAATGATCATTATAGCGATTCGATAAACGTTTTATAAATGAAGGCAACCGATTATGAATAATTATGAAAACTGTTTCCAATAATTTATTTTTTTATCTGATAGAGTCACATGGATATTATATGTATGCAGAATGTACAAAAAGTCCCGAATTCCATAAATATCTTGAAAAGTAATTTCTGAGAAAAATATTTATTAATACACATTTTATAAATACACAAAAGTTGTAAGGTTTAAAATGATTTATTTATTGATCTTATAAGTTTTATCTTGGATGATGCTACCAAGATCAGGCCAAAATCAAATCGATTTTTTTAAGTAAAATGCTCTATTTTTTTATTTCAGAATCTAATAGTTGATGTCAAGAGATTTTCAACACTATAATAAAGTCTCTTTTAATCAATACTTTTCAAGTTATGAGATTTGAAAGTTAATATCGCTGGTATTAACATTATCTAAGGTATATCGCGTGGAAGTTGCCCGGTCGGATTTATAAATCTTGTGTATGAGCGCACGCGTGTTTGTATGAGTCTCCTCCTTTCTCTTTCTCTTTTCCTCCTCCCACATAATTATCTTTGATTGTACAATATTTACTTAAAATACTAATATTAACTGAACAGGAGCGTATATCTTTTTTAATGATGCAAGGATGAGGTGAGGTCTTACGTACAAATGACAGAATTAAATCCTCCAATCAGATCTTCACATCTAGACTCAGACAGCACAGAATATTTAGGTATTGATAGGTATTCATAAATATTTATTTCTATTTATTTTTTCAAAATATTATATAAATATTTTATATATTACATTTATATATTACATTTAAATATACTTAAATATAATTATAAATATACTTGGATATCCGAGATGATTCCTTTTGTCTACAAATCAATTGCCTACGATATTATTTGCCTACATACACTATTGCGCACAAAAATAAACATCAAAGACGAAATCATTTGTCTATAATAATACATGTAGACAAATGACTTCGTTTCTCAAGTTTTTATTTATGCACAAAAGTGCTTGTATGCAATCGATTTGTAGACGATAATATTATGTATGCAATGCAGATTGTGTGCAATATTGTCATATGTGCAAAAATGTCTTTTTCTCTTAATTTTATATTTGTGCATGTTAGATAATCGCAAATATGATGTAGGTAAACAATGCTGAAGGCAATCAATTTGTAGGCAAACAAGATTCTCCTTAAATATCAAATCAGTTTTAATGAAGAAATGTGTTTAAATGTTAAATATGTTTATTAGGATTTAATTGAAAGCTATATAACTCGTGCTACTTATATTATTATCTTGTACAAAATGCATAAAAAGTATACTATTAAAAGAAAAAGTATCTCTTTTATATGTAACAGTATCTTGCGTAAATAAAAATTGATAATATTTTTTTCTACAATAATTAAAAATTGTATAAAGGAATACAATAAATATTCTAATTTGCGTAATTTTTTGTATATATTTTAAAATGTATATCATTTTTCCTACGTTTTTGTTGTTCAATTTTTTTATTAATATCAAGATTTATTCGGTCATTTTATTTTATAAAATGATGTTGCGTGTGCATAATAGAAATTATGTATCCAAAACAATGATTTTATAAGCAACTTAAAATTTTATATTCCAAATTTTTCTACAAACTGATTATAATGTGATCCGTGCTAGTATTAGCAACTTCCTGAAACTTTCCTGCGTTACTTGGCAAGGACAACCACTGTGCTGCTATAGTTATTTATAAAACCGTAACATTGACCTCAATAATACGATAATGATTCCATTCTCTCATCTGCAGTTTTGATCATGAAATTTACTCGGATTTGTTGAAAGAATTTTGTTTGTAGAATAGAAAAAATATATATGTATAATTAAATCAAAATGATACAAAATATAATTCTATACGCAAGAAGAATATAAAACAAATTACACAGGATTATATTATATAAAATTGTATCAGCAACACATAAAATTAATTTTTAAATTGTTTTTTTACTTTCTTGTAACATCGTGCAAATATATTTGTAAAATATGTTAACTTTAATATATTTTACAATTTTTATATTTTTC